GGACAGGGGCAGGACAGGGGCAGGACAGGGCAGGACAGGACAGGACAGGCAGGACAGGACAGGAGGACAGGGGCAGGGGCAGGACAGGGCAGGACAGGGGCAGGACAGGAGCAGGACAGGGGCAGGGGCAGGACAGGGGCAGGACAGGAGCAGGGGCAGGACAGGGGCAGCAGGACAGGGCAGGACAGGGCAGGACAGGGCAGGACAGGGGCAGGACGGGACAGGAGCAGGACAGGACAGGCAGGACAGGGGCAGGACAGGGGCAGGACAGGAGCAGGACAGGACAGGAGGACAGGGCAGGGAGGACAGGAGCAGGACAGGAGCAGGACAGGAGGCAGGACAGGAGCAGGACAGGGCAGGACAGGGCAGGACAGGAGCAGGACAGGACAGGACAGCAGGACAGGGGCAGGGGCAGGACAGGGGCAGGGGCAGGACAGACTGGACCAAAGTTGTGTAAATGAGCAGCAGGTTCCGTCGTTTCTTTTTGGACTCAGGTTCAGATTTTCTCACGTCACAAGATTTAAAAAAAAAAACAAAGAGAAAAAATAAAATTGATAATAAAAGTAAAATAAGCCGCAGAAATGAGGCGTTGTTCTCAGACGAGTTCTTGTTCTTGTTGTTTTCTGGATCATGTGAGGCTCTTTCTGCTTTCGTCACGTCCGGTTCTTTTGTGATTAAGACTAAATCCTCGTTAGGACTCGGACCCGTGACCCGAGTCTCTTTTATTTGATTTAAAACTGTTTCAAATTCACAGTTTAAACTTTTAAAATCTAAATCTCACAAACTGTTTCCTGAAATGTTTAAACTTTAACTTTCACACTTTTCCATAAAAGCTGCTCTTTCCTCGGTTTTGGTCTGAAGTCAAGTTTCCTCTGAATCATTTTGTTCTTTTGCTTTTTTTACTCGAGTAACGTTATAGAAAAATACTTTTACTAGAGTACACTGTCTCTAAAACACGTCTGTATCTGAGTACACAGGAAATACTCAAGTTTGTTTTGGCTCAAAACACTGAACACGGACCTGAGCAGTGTGGACCTGAGCTGTTTGGACTTGAGTTGTGTGGACCTGAGCTGTTTGGATCTGTGACCTGAGTTGTGTGGACCTGAGTTGTGTGAACCTGAGTTGTTTGGACATGAGTTGTTTGGACCTGAGTTGTGTGGACCTGAGTTGTGTGAACCTGAGTTGTTTGGACATGAGTTGTTTGGACCTGAGTTGTGTGGACCTGAGTTGTGTGAACCTGAGCAGTGTGGACCTGAGTTGTGTGAACCTGAGCAGTGTGGACCTGAGTTGTGTGGACCTGAGCAGTGTGGACCTGAGCAGTGTGGACCTGAGTTGTGTGGACCTGAGCAGTGTGGACCTGAGTTGTTTGGACCTGAGTTGTGTGGACCTGAGTTGTGTGGACCTGAGTTGTGTGAACCTGAGCAGTGTGGACCTGAGTTGTTTGGACCTGAGTTGTTTGTACCTGAGTTGTTTGGACCTGAGTTGTGTGGACCTGAGCAGTGTGGACCTGAGTTGTGAGGACCTGAGCAGTGTGGACCTGAGCAGTGTGGACCTGAGTTGTGAGGACCTGAGTTGTGAGGACTTGAGTTGTTTGGACCTGAGCAGTGTGGACCTGAGTTGTGTGGACCTGAGCAGTGTGGACCTGAGTTGTTTGGACCTGAGCTGTGTGGACCTGAGTTGTGTGGACCTGACTTGTGTTCCTCCTGTGTCCCCGGGGCCCGTCTCTGGTGCAGTTGTATTTGTTGTTGCTCTGACAGCGACAGGGTTCAAACGCCGAGTGTCCCCTGTCGCCCCTGTCGCCCCTGACGACCTCCATCCATCACACGACTGAGTCACAGATTAAACATTCTGCCACGCACACACATGTACAACACCCCCACAGTTTAGTTCCAACAAATGAACAAACGAACGAACCAGAGAGTTTAAAGTCTCGTTTTAAAACTCACTTTTACTCTCTGACTTTAACACCAAGAGTCGTTTGCTCCGCTCTGTCTATTTATTTTATTTTTATTTTTTATGTTTATTTTATTTTTTAGTACTGCTTTTATGTATTGATTTTATTATTTTTATTTGATTTATTTTACCTGGTTTAGTTCTGGTTTAGTCCTGGTTTAGTCCTGGTTTAGTCCTGGTTTGGACCTTTTATCAATTTTTTCCATTTTTCATTCAAACACAAAATCAAAAATTGAAAAATCGAATCTTTAGCTGTTTTTTCATTTTGGTTTTGGAGACAAATAATTGTTGTTTTTTTCGTTTTCTTATTTTTGGTTTTATTTTGAAAAACGACACACAGATTTATGTGAAGCTCTTTTGGAAACAGTTTATTATTTTATTTTATAAAATCTGCTACACAAATAAAGTTGGACTGGACAAACTAATAATAAAATTCACAAAGGCACAAAATGTCAAAATGTGTCGTTTATGATCGTACAAAATAAAAATAAAAAATGTTAAAGAAAATGTTAAAGAAAATGTAAAAAAAAAAAAAAAGTTAAAGAAAATGTAAAAAAAAAAAAAAAATGTTAAAGAAAATGTAAAAAAAAAAAAAAAAAAAAATGTTAAAGAAAATGTTAAAGAAAATGTTAAAGAAAAGCCTGTGTTCTGTTTTTCTCTGTGTTTTTCTAAGATTAGATTTTTTTTTTTCTTCGTTCGTTTGAGTTTCGATGACGCTGCAGAGACTCAGATGAGCCTCAGAATCCAATTTGAAATGAAATGGGCCCCGGGTCGTGCGGGGGCCGTCGCCGGGGCCCGTGTAAGTGCCTCTGTGACGTCCCCGCTCCTCCGTGGGCTCTTACGGCTCTTACGGCTCTTACGGCTCTTACGGCTCTCGGCTCTCGGCTCTTGGCTCGGGGAAGTGCTTCTGTGATCCGGGCCCTTTGCTCCGGAGCTCTGGCCGTTTCTGCTGACGGGACGGGCCCCGCAGAAGAAGAGCCCGGAGATCCCGCTGACTCGGCAGAAAGTCCCCGCGATGATGGAGCCCTCTGACCCCGGGTGAACACTTACGGCTCGATGGGCCCCCAGGGACCCCGGCCTCGCTCCGGACCGGGCGGGAAAGCTGCCAACGCCGCGGCTTTACTCCTCCGACCAGTAAAACACTTAGAGCTGATGTGGAAAGTTTAATATCAAAACACTCCAGACCACAAGACACCGAGAAGATCAAGAAGAGAGACGAAGAAGAGGAGGAGGTGTCTGGGGAGAGGGAGGAGGGGTTGTCTGGTCCATCAAATCAAAATGAAAAATAAAGTTTCAGAACCTCGATTAGAACCTGCTTTCAGTTTCAGCACCAAAAACTGATTTAGTGCTGAAGTCTGAAGTCAGATGATTTGTTTTTCCTTCAGAAGCTTCAGTCTGAACTTTCAGTCGTGAAGAAAACACCTGAACAGTTTTGGGCGACGTCTTTGGTCCTTGAGTGAAGAAATGTTTGTCCTGACGTTCTTCACTCCAGTGTGACAGAAGAACAGAAGAAACTGATGTTTCACGATCTGATGGAAAAGGTTCAGAAGGTTCAGAGGTTCCACCAAAGCCTCGAGACAAAGACCTTCATCCAGCAGATCATGAAGAGAAGCAGATCAGGGAGTTTGAGGAGGTTCTTCTTCTTCATTTTCCTGCAGCAGAACTGGGCTGATGATGATGAGACTGAAGCTGAAGCTGCTCAAACTGAGCTTCAGGAAAATGTCCATGATGTTTCTGAAACGAGCTGAAGCTTCTTCAAGATTTGAACTGAAGAACAAAGACTGAAGCTCAGAAACAGGATCTACTGCAGGAGACACAGACACGAGCAGCTTCAGAGACAAAAACAAACACAGACGAGCTGCACTTGACCACAAACTTTTCTGTTTCAGTTTGTGTTTGCAGAAGAAAATCACACAGTTTTGGAACAGGCCACATTTATTTGGTTCTGTTCTAGTTTAGGGACATTTTCAAGACTCTTGAGTAAAACTCTAAATATTTATTAATCTGCATAAAATTTGGACTCAAATATTTTGGACAAATAAGGAATCAAATGCAGGTTCTAATCTAGAGAATCTAAAAAAATAAATACATTTTGGACCACCCTCCTACTTAAATTATTGTATTATATTATTATTATTATTATTATTATTATCATTATTATCATTATTATCATTATTATCATTATTACCCCAACCCCCAAATCCTGCTCCAGGTCTGCAGGCAGAACAGCTGAGTTCAGGTCAGTTAAATATAATAAATCAGTGAACCTGTCCAACGACGACAGGTGCAAATAAACACTGATGCAACAGCCTGATGTGCAAACATCTGTCCCCCCCCCGTCTCAAATAAATAAATAAATGATTCAGTTCTTCACTGTGTTGTTAATCGTCGTGTTGGTTTTGTTCTCGTGTCGGTGGCTTCAGTTTCTTTGTGCCTCTGTGACCATAAAACACCTCTGTTCTGTTCTGTTCTGTTCTGTTCATCTCTCTTCTCTCCTCTCAGTTTTCTGCTGCTCGTATCTGGAGTGTGGGCGGCCCCTCCCCGCGGGGCCCCTCCCCTCCGCGTGTGGTGGCTCGGGGCCCCTCCCTCACTCCAGAGTCCCCGGGGCCCTCAGGCAGCAGCAGCAGCAGGAGCCGCCTCCCTCCTCCTCCGGCTCAGAGCAGCTGTGAGCGTCGACCAGACCGGACCCCACGCTGACCCCGCAGGCCCACACCAGAGACCACAGACCAGGGACCGGACCAAGGACCCGACCCAAGACCGGACCACAGACCGGACCACAGACCCGACCCAAGACCCGACCTAAACTAGACCCAAGAGAGGTCCAAAGACACACCTGACCCCAGACTGGACCCAGGACCACACCCCAACAGGACCGGACCCAACGGAATCTGACTTTTTGAAAACTTGTCTGGACTTTTGTGGTGGATTCTCCAAAGTCCGGATCATCTCTGGACTTTTTGTCTGGACCTCTGCTTGGACCCCTCTCTGGACCCTTGTCTGGACCCTTCTTCTGGACTCTCCTCTGGACCAGTCTCGGAGCAGACCTGATGGCGCTCCTGGTGGTCCTGGCGTGGTTCCTGTCGCTCTTCGCCCTGGCGCCGCTGGCACAGGCCGGGTGCCCGTCCGCGTGCCGCTGCTCCTTTGCCATGGTGCAGTGTCTGGAGCCTGACGGACTGTCCATGGTGCCGGCGCTGGCTCCTCTGGAGAGCGAGAACGTCACCGAGATGTGAGTCCACGTTTTGTGTTTGTCACGGCAAAAGGACCAGAAAAGTAAAAATTATTATAATTTTTTTTTTTTTTATTAAATGTTTTATTTTATTGTATTTTATTTTTGTATATTTATTAATATTTTATTTATTGCATTTTTATTTTAGTTTATTGTAGTTCATTTTGATTTAGATTTTACTTGTTGTATTTATATTTATTTATTTTAGTTGAATTCATAATTTTATTTTATTGTGATTAAATTAATTCATTAATTTATTTATTTTAGTTATTATATTTTAATTTAAGTTTTTCAGTTCAGTTTTTTTCTGTATTTTCAGTTTGATTTAATTTTATTAATTTTATTAATTTTTTATTTTTTATTATTTTTTTTTTATTTGTTGCTTTTTCCTGTTTTTTGGCTAAATTTGAACAAACAGCAGCTGCACTTGAAACAATTTTAGTATTTTTCCATTTTTAAAGCTCCTGTATCACAGTAAAACCGACTCCTGTGAGCTTTAAGTCACGTTCTAATGTTCTAATGTTCTAATGTTCTAATGTTCTAATGTTCCTGGTTAAATCAGAGCTGGAGTTGTGTTTTGTTTAATTTATATGTTTGTGAAACTCTTTATTATTATTATTTTGTATTTTTTGGAGCTGGACCTGAGTCACGCCCCAAAAACCAAATCTGACGTTGAGGTTTTCCTCAGACGCAGTAGTAATAATAAACAGTAGTTGTTGTAGTAGTTGTAGTAGTAGTAGTAGTAGTAGTAGTAGTAGTAGTTGTAGTAGCAGTAGTACAGTATAGTAAAGCTGAAATGTTTGGGGGCTGGTGGAGGTTTTGCTCTTTCGTTTCCATGGAGCTGTTATTTCTTTGCCTGTAATGTTCCGCATTAGGGCATTAAACCCCCATCTCCTTCAGTTCCAGATGTTTTAACTCAGAAACTCATTTGAAAAGCAGGTTCAGGCTCGCCTCTCCACAGATCTGACCGTTAATCTGTCTCTACTGTGAGTTTATTCTCAGATGGTGGAATCATCGAGGCAGAACAGTGACATTTCCACAGAGACCAGCAGGTGGCGCACCCCCCCCCCAAACATCACAGTTACAGTCAGAGCAACTTTAAAATCTGTTTTTTCATCCGACACAATCTTGACTTTTAAATGTGTTTTTTGGACTTTAAATCTCCATGTTATGGACAGGAGTTAACTGTTAGCCTCCGTGACGTTTTTAAACTCTTAATATTTGTTTTTTGTTAAAGTTGAAGTAAAAGTTGAGGTAAAAGTTGAGTAAAAGTTGGAGTGTAGTTGTGATCTGTGGAGCCGAGCGAGCGTCTGTGCTGCTCCAAACATCTGTGTTTAATGTGACGACGTCTAAACGGCTCCAAAGACAAAAGTGTGAAGACGGAAGAGTAAAAAAGAGTCAAATAATTAGAATCTATGTTTTATTATTATTATTATTATTATTTTGTATTGTAATTGTAATTATTTAAATGTACTTTTTATTTTACATATTTCATATTTACATTTTAGTACTAGTAGCAGTATTATTATTAGTAGTAGTAGTAATAGCAGTTTTTGTAGCAGTAGTAGTAGTAATGGTGGTAGTAGTATTAGTAGTAGTAGTAGTAGCAGTAGCAGTAGTAGTAGAAGTATTCCCCGTCTGTAGTATTATAGTAGAGTGTAAAAATGTGGGAGGGCCTCAGGTTTAGTTTCAGACTCTCAGGGTCCATCTGTTCGATCAATATTCAGCTCCACCCCCCCCCCCCCACACACACACACACCCCACCCCGCCCCGAGTTATATATACAGCCTTTTATATACACAGTACATAACTGTAATTATATATACAATTATATATACAGACTATGTCCGTAAGTGTATTTATATACACAGACTTTATCTATAAATGTATTTATATCAACAGAACAGCAGCAGGTCGTCCTGTAAACCCCCGAGGAGCGTCTCTTAAACCCCTGTATGTATATATATATATATATATATATATATATATATATATATATATATATATATATATATATATATATATATACACAGGTGTGTGTGATTGACAGGTGGATTAACCAGTCAGAGAGACTCATGCTCAGATCAAGAACAAACATGGACACTTACAGATAAAGACAGACACATATTTTATTTATTTACTTATTTACAGGGTTTTTTTGTTTTTTTTTTTTAGATTTTGATGGTTTAATTGTTTTAGGACGAGTATGACCACAGTTTTAGACCTTTACCTTTTTGTTTGTTGATCTCTGTGCTTTGGAAACAGCTTCGTTTGTAAAATGTGCTGTGGAAATAACGTGGATCTGGTTTTGGATGAAAAAGGAAATGTTTTGTTGGAGGTGTTTTCTGTGTTTGAGACTCGTGAGCTTCTGGGTTTGGAGCGTCTCAGGTTTGGACGGACGGGTTCAGGTTGTGTGGTTCGGTTCAGATGGTGAAGTGTCTGGTGCTCAGGACAAGAGTTTGATTCTCAGATTCGATAAAAACTCCACTCTGTTTCTCAGTCCTTTGTGGGGTGTTTTTGTTTTGTTTTTTAACGAATAAACCATCAGTGGTGGATGAAGTACTCAAGTACAGATACAGAGGCAAAAGATTACGGATGAAATGTAGTGATTTTGATCAAGAATTCTGCTGATTTTAAGAGATTCAATCGACGTCTGTGTTTGTGTTTTGTGTGTTTTTGTGTGTTTGTGTTTTTGTGTTTGTGTTGCTCAAAGTTGGGTCGTGAACTCAAATTAAATCCTCTGAAAACACTTCTCAGGTTTTTCAGTCCAGATCTTAAACATTGTGCAGTAGAAAGTACAAATACCTGCTCTCAGAAGTACTGAAGTAAAAGTAAAAAGTACCCACTGTAAAATGTACTTAAGTAAAGTACAGGTACATAAAAACTGTGTTGTACTTTTACTTTTGTACTTCGTTACGTTCCTCTGCTGTGACCCGACGTGTTTGTTTAGACACAAACGGAGCAGGCCCCTCTCTGATTGGTTAATCCACCTGTCAATCACACCGTCTGAAATCAGGCTCCAGATCCTCGTCTTTGTGAATTTTGGTTCTGTTGTTGTACAGTTGTAGGGAGTATTATCTGTTACATAAAGGTGAGTTGTTGTACAGTTGTAGGGAGTATTATCTGTCACATAAATACAGTTGTAGGGAGTATTATCTGTGACATAAATACAGTTGTAGGGAGTATTATCTGTTACATAAAGGTGAGTTGTACAGTTGTAGGGAGTATTATCTGTTACATAAAGACAGTTGTAGGGAGTATTATCTGTTACATAAAGGTGAGTTGTACAGTTGTAGGGAGTATTATCTGTCACATAAGGGTGAGTTGTTGTACAGTTGTAGGGAGTATTATCTGTTACATAAAGGTGAGTTGTACAGTTGTAGGGAGTATTATCTGTTACATAAAGGTGAGTTGTACAGTTGTAGGGAGTATTATCTGTTACATAAAGGTGAGTTGTACAGTTGTAGGGAGTATTATCTGTTCCATAAAGGGTGAGTTGTACAGTTGTAGGGAGTATTATCTGTTACATAAAGGTGAGTTGTAGAGTTGTAGGGAGTATTATCTGTTACATAAAGGTGAGTTGTAGAGTTGTAGGGAGTATTATCTGTTACATAAAGGTGAGTTGTAGAGTTGTAGGGAGTATTATCTGTTACATAAAGGTGAGTTGTAGAGTTGTAGGGAGTATTATCTGTTACATAAAGGTGAGTTGTAGAGTTGTAGGGAGTATTATCTGTTACATAAAGGTGAGTTGTAGAGTTGTAGGGAGTATTATCTGTCACATAAGGCTCCAGATCTTCGTCTTTGTAAAGTTTCTCCATGTTGGAAAAGCAGAAGGAGACGGAGTGAACAGGAGGCCATTACACAGACCCGACGCACACATACTCACACACCACACACACACACACACACACACACACACACACACGTACACACACACACACACACACACACGTACACACACACACACACACACACACACACTCACACACACTCAGCTCCAAATCCAATTTTCACAATTGCCAGTCAGTGCCCCCACCGGGAACAAAGGATGATATACAGCCACTTAATCCAATCGCAGGGGCAACAGGCGAAGCACCTGCCGCTAACCAGATCACGCACTGCTCCTGTCAAACTCCACAACCTCCACAAGCTCCTCAAGCTCCTCGTGCTCCCAGGGCCCAAGAATGTCCCTCAGCACCCCCCCCCCCCTCGACATAATCACCAATCAAACCTCATGAAAACACAATCAGCAATCAGAGAATCAGAGAATTAGAGAATTAGAGAATCATCTGAAGTGATTTTGTCCGGTTTGAGCTGAAGCGAGACTCGTCCTCGCTTTTATTCTCACGTCTCTCAAGAGAAAAAATCACATCACACTGTTTCCCACCCGTCCTCTGTTCTAATGTCGTTTCCTCGTCACTTTTCAAAACATTAAAAGGAACAGGTTTTCACTGACTGAAGAACACAGGAGGGTCCAGGACTGGCCCCTGAGGAACACCACAGCTTAATGAGTGTTATGAGTTTTTGTTTTATTTTATTTTGGACAATGTTACAGTTTTTAATTTTGTCACTTTTTGCTAAATTTGAGAGCAGCTGGTGCTTTATTTCCGTTTTAAAAGTCTTATATTTCACAAATTGGACTCTTTAAATGAAGCATTAAAGTCGCACTCACACCAAACACGAACGGCATGAACAAGGTGAAGGATTTACATGTTCACTCTATGTAAAGACATGTTGACGCGTGAATAAAGTTCTGCAGTGTGAATGATGCGAATTGGGTGGTGCAATTTGCACGTTTTGTGCTGCGCAAATAAGTGAAATGAGCGGTGGTGTGAATTTGTGAAATTGCCATTGACATGTGAATTTTCAAAAGGGAGGGGCTCGTGAAATTCGCCAAAGTTGAAATTTTTGAACTTTCTGTGAATATTTGCATCACATCGACCAATCAGGGGCCATGTTCTGATAGCGACGTATAAAACTGAGACAGACGTGAACTTTGATTCAACATGGAGGAGACACCGTGGGAAACGAGCCGATATTATACAGACCAGAGACTGGAACAAAGTCCACAGAGCAGGACCCACACCACACTCCCCCTTTAGTCTGGTCCTGGTCCGGTGGGACTGTGTGTGTCAGAGGGGCGGGGCTGTGTGTGTCAGAGGGGCGGGGCTGTGTGTGTCAGAGGGGCGGGGCTGTGTGTGTCAGAGGGGCGGGGCTGTGTGTGTGTGTGTCAGAGGGGCGGGGCTGTGTGTGCGTCAGAGGGGCGGGGCTGTGTGTGTCAGAGGGGCGGGGCTGTGTGTGTCAGAGGGGGGGCTGTGTCAGAGGGGCGGGGCTGTGTGTCAGAGGGGCGGGGCTGTGTGTCAGAGGGGCGGGCTGTGTGTGTCAGAGGGGCGGGGCTGTGTGTCAGAGGGGCGGGGCTGTGTGTCAGAGGGGCGGGGCTGTGTGTCAGAGGGGCGGGGCTGTGTGTCAGAGGGGCGGGGCTGTGTGTCAGTCAGAGGGGCGGGGCTGTGTGTCAGAGGGGCGTGTGTGTCAGAGGGGCGGGGCTGTGTGTGTATCCTCAGAGGTTTTTGTGTCTGTGTTTGTGTAAAATGACTCATTAAGATGTTTCCATCATCACCTTGTGATGTCATCAAGTGGTAGTTTTCATGTTCACGGCTCCTTTTAGAGTTTGGTAAAGAAATTCCAGAACTGAAATGATCAAATGTTTCTGGTGAAACCCCGACTCAGTGAAGCTCACACTTACTCTTGTAGGGAGTATTATCTGTTCAGGGTCAGTGTCTGAGGCTGGAGTGTGACGGGTTCCTGTGTGTCTGAGGCTGGAGTGTGACGGGGTTCTCTGTGTGTCTGAGGCTGGAGTGTGACGGTTCCTGTGTGTCTGAGGCTGGAGTGTGACAGTTCCTGTGTGTCTGAGGCTGGAGTGTGACGGGGTTCTCTGTGCGTCTGAGGCTGGAGTGTGACAGGGTTCTCTGTGTGTCTGAGGCTGGAGTGTGACGGTTCCTGTGTGTCTGAGGCTGGAGTGTGACAGTTCCTGTGTGTCTGAGGCTGGAGTGTGACGGGGTTCTCTGTGTGTCTGAGGCTGGAGTGTGACGGGGTTCTCTGTGTGTCTGAGGCTGGAGTGTGACGGGTTCTCTGTGTGTCTGAGGCTGGAGTGTGACGGGGTTCTCTGTGTGTCTGAGGCTGGAGTGTGACGGGGTTCTCTGTGTGTCTGAGGCTGGAGTGTGACGGTTCCTGTGTGTCTGAGGCTGGAGTGTGACGGGGTTCTCTGTGTGTGAGGCTGGAGTGTGACGGGGTTCTCTGTGTGTCTGAGGCTGGAGTGTGACGGTTCCTGTGTGTCTGAGGCTGGAGTGTGACGGGGTTCCTCTGTTTGTGTTGCAGATACATGGAGAACCAGTCTGGAGTGGAGAACATCACCGACCTGGACCTGATCAACTTTAAAGAACTACGCAACCTGTGAGGAACATACACACACACACACACACACATACACACACACACACACACACACACACACACACACACACACACACACACACACACATACACACACACACACACACACACACATACACACACACACACACACACACACACACACACACACACACACACACACATACACACACACACACACACACACACATACACACACACATACACACACACACACACACATACACACACACACACACACACACACATACACACACACACACACACACACACACACACACATACACACACACACACACACACACACACACACACACACACACACACATACACACACACACACACACACACACACACACACTACACACACACACACACACACACACACACACACACATACACACACACACACACACACACACACACACACACACACACACACACACACACACATACACACACACACACACACATACACACACACACACACACACTACACACATACACACACACACACAACATACACACAACATAGACACACACAGACACATACACACACACACACATACTTATACACACAACATACTCAAACATACATCTGACACACATACACAACCTGACACACATATACACACAACATACACACATATATACACACATCTACACACACACGCAAACATCTACACACAACATACACAAACACACAACCTGACACACAACATCTACACACACACACTTATAAACACAACCTGACACACAATATCTACACACAACATACACACAAACACACATCTAGACACATATAAACACACATCTACACACAACATACACACAAACACACATCTAGACACACACAAACACACATCTAGACACATATAAACACACATCTACACACATAACATACACACATGAATACACACACGCAAACATCTACGTACACACGCACATGCACACAGAGACACACAACATATACACACATCTGTGCATATGTGTTGTGGGCGGCAGTAGTTCAGTTGGTGGAGCATTCGCCCACTGATCTGAAGGTTGGCGGTTCGAATCCAGCTCTCGACATAAACATCACAGGTTGAGCGTCAGATCCACTGACCCACAGGTTGGCTGGTGTGATTCCAGCTCCCACAGATGAATGCTGCTGTTGTGTCCTTGGGCAAGACACTTAACCCACCTTGCCCACAGTGTCTGCGTACACTGGTGTGTGAATGGGTGAGTGGTTCCTTGTTGTAAAGCGCTTTGAGCCTTGAAGGAAAAGCGCTATAGAAAAATGTGACCATTTACCATCTGACAGACAACATATACATACAAACATACACATATACACACACAACATATACACACACACGTAGGTCCCCACAGCGCAGCCTGGACTTCCTGTTCTTGTTTTTCCTACAGGACGGTGACTTCCTGTAAACTTCGATTCATCTCGGCCAACGCCTTCCAGTACAACACCAAACTGCAGTACGTGTGAGTATCCCACAGGGGGCGCAAGTACAACACCAAACTGCAGTACGTGTGAGTATCCAGCAGGGGGCAGCAGAGGCATTAACCATCATACAGACAGAAGTAAAACCAAACATATTTGCTCTGCTCTCTCGACGACTTTTCGTTCTGTGTTTCCGCTCCGTGTTTCCGCTCCGTGTTTCCGCTCCGTGTTTCCGCTCCGTGTTTCCGCTCCGTGTTTCCGCTCCGTGTTTTCGCTCCGTCCCTGTGGATCGTTCTGTTCTAATTTTGACATTTTAAATCTCAATATTGATCAAAAACGACTTCATAAAAAAACAACATAAACACGTGCGACGACTTTGGCTTTAGAAAATTGTGGAGTCCAGTGAAGTGACTAAACCAGAACTAAACCAAGACAAGACTAAACCAAGACTAAAACCAAGACTAAACCAGGACTAAACCAGGACTAAACTGTGACTGAACGAGGACTGACTTCTCGATGTCGCCCAGACAAAATGGCGTCTTGAAAATAAGAGATTAAAGTTTCCTCAAACATGAATCAATCTAAATAAACTTCAGAGTCAGAGAAGAAACAACGAGAACCTGGAGAAACATCAGAGGAGAAACATCAGAGGAGAAACATCAGAGGAGAAACATCAGAGGAGAAGAGTCTGGAGAACATTTGTGATTCACCTGGAGTGTTTTTTCGTGGTCACTCCTGGACAAACGCAGGACCCTGGACCCTAGACCCTGGGCTCTGGACTCTGGACTTTGGACTCAGGACCCTGGACTCTGGTCTGGGCTCTGGGACTCTGGACTCAGGACTCAGGACTCAGGACCCTGGACTCTGGACTCTGGACTCTGGGCTCTGGACTCTGGAGCTCTGGACTCTGGACTCTGGACTCTGGACTCTGGACTCTGGACTCTGGACTCTGGACTCTGGACTCTGGACTCTGGACTCTGGACTCTGGACTCAGGACCCTGGACTCCCTGGACCCTGGACTCAGGACTCAGGACTCTGGACTCTGGACTCAGGACTCAGGACTCAGGACTCTGGACTCTGGACTCTGGACTCTGGACTCTGGACTCTGGACTCAGGACTCTGGACTCTGGACTCTGGACTCTGGACTCTGGACTCTGGACTCTGGACTCTGGACTCTGGACTCTGGACTCTGGACTCTGGACTCTGGACTCTGGACTCTGGACTCTGGACTCTGGACTCTGGACTCTGGACTCTGGACTCAGGACTGGACTCTGGACTCTGGACTCTGGACTCTGGACTCTGGACTCTGGACTCTGGACTCTGGACTCTGGACTCTGGACTCTGGACTCTGGACTCTGGACTCTGGACTCTGGACTCTCACTCTCAGGACTCTGGACTCTGGACTCTGGACTCTGGACTCTGGACTCTGGACTCTGGACTCAGGACTCTGGACTCTGGACTCTGGACTCTGGACTCAGGACTCAGGACTCTGGACTCTGGACTCTGGACTCTGGACTCTGGACTCTGGACTCTGGACTCTGGACTCTGGACTCTGGACTCTGGACTCTGGACTCTGGACTCTGGACTCTGGACTCTGGACTCTGGACTCAGGACTCTCTGGACTCAGGACTCTGGACTCTGGACTCTGGACTCTAGACTCTGGACTCTAGACTGGACTCTGGACTCTGGACTCTGGACTCTGGACTCTGGACTCTGGACTCTGGACTCTGGACTCTGGACTCTGGACTCTGGACTCTGGACTCTGGACTCTGGACTCTGGACTCTGGACTCTGGACTCTGGACTCTGGACTCTGGACTCTGGACTCTGGACTCTGGACTCTGGACTCTGGACTCAGGACTCTCTCTCGGACTCTCTCGGACTGGACTCTGGACTTATGGACTCTGGATGGACTGGACTCTCCATGGACTCAACGGACATCACTCTGGAGGACTCACTCTGGAACTCTGAGCGGACTTCAGATCTGCAGATAAGAAACACACAGAAACGGCACAGAACACGAGACGTAAACATGTCCCAGAAGAACATGTCGCTCCACGATGCTCCTGCCTGTGGGGCCCCTGGGACTTGGTTTGTTTCTGTTTTTATTTTATTTCTTTATTTGACAGGGACACTGCAGATTAAGGAACATTTGTAATCAGTAAATATGTCAGATTATTGTAAAAATCCAAAAAAATGCAAAAAAGTTCCATCAAATTTAGAATTTTCATTTTGGAATTCTGGGTCCTAGGTCCAAAATTCCGAACTGTCCCTTTAAATCCCGTTGAATTTCTCACTTTGAATCTTTTTACTCTGAAAAAAACATGTTTGAATTATTTTTATTCTGAATTTGAGTTGCTGAAATTTTAAGTTTACTTTTCCAATATGGTTCAAATTCAAAATAAAAATGCCACCTTTTAAATATTCAGACCACAAATATTTTCAAGCCTCAAATTCAACAAGGAAAATTAAAAGTGTTAAAAAGGCAAATATGAAAATAATTTGTGCTTAATAACTTGTGTTTAAAACTTGAAAAATGTACTTATATAACTTCACTCACTGATATTCAGAATAAAAATAAAAACATAAATTAAAACATGTTTTTTCAGAGTTAAAAATTCGAAGTGAGCGTTTTAAGTTTTCCAAACAGGAAGTGAACACGGACACACTTCCGGCTCCATCGGCTCTGGCTCCCGTTGACTTACCCTGGAACATTGTGGCTCGTCTCTGTTCCTGCTGCTGTGGCCTCGACATTTTGGTCTTAAAATATTCGTATGAACCTGCGACACAGGATCCTGGTGGTTTTTTTTTGCTTTTTGTTTCTAAATCCTGTTCATAATCTAGAGTCTGTCTCCAGATTGGCTCTCGTCCGTGAGCGTCGTGAGTTTCATTGAGTCGTTGAACACTGTGGTGACGTCGCACTCACTTAGAACACTTTTTACTCAGTCTGTGGATGATGTGATGCTCGTGTCGGTTCCATGTGAGGTCCCTGGGTCCCTGGGTCACTGGGTCCCTGGGTCACTGGGTCCCTGGGTCACTGGGTCACTGGGTCCCTGGGTCCCTGGGTCACTGGGTCACTGGGTCACTGGGTCCCTGGGTCACCTGGGTCCCTGGGTCACTGGGTCACTGGGTCCCTGGGTCCCTGGGTCACTGGGTCACTGGGTCTGCTCCGTGCTTTTGCTCCGTGTTTTTGCTCCGTGTTTTTGCTCCGTGTTTTTGCTCCGTGTTTTTGCTCCGTGTTTTTGCTCCGTGTTTTTGCTCTGTGTTTTCATTCTCTGTTTTCACTTGGTGTTTCTACTCTGTGTTTTTGATAGATGTGTTGGTTCTGTGTGGGGTCCCAGGGTCCCCAGGTCCTTGTGTCTGTCGTTGTGTCTGATGTGGAGATAAATCTGCTGTGTTGGTACACGTGTCGGTTCTTTGTGGGGTCCCTGAATCTCTGGGTCCCTGGGTCTGAGTCCCTTTGTCTCCCGGTCCTTGTGTCTGTTGGTCTCTGTGTCTCTGGGTCCTTGTGTCTGTCGTTGTGTCTGATGTGGAGATAAAGCTGCTGTGTTGGTACACGTGTCGGTTCTTTGTGGGGTCCCTGGGTCCCTGTGTCTCCGGGTCCTTGTGTCTGTTGGTCTCTGTGTCTCTGGGTCCTTGGGTCCTTGGGTCCTTGTGTCTGTCGGTCCTTGTGTCTGTCGGTCCTTGTGTCTGTCGTTGTGTCTGATGTGGAGATAAAGCTGCTGTGTCGGGACACGTGTCGGCTCCGTGTGGCGCTCGTGTTTCTGAGGAGGACACTGATGTTCTGATAGGGCGTGTAGGGGCCGTGCTCCTGGGGCCCCTCGCTCGCTCTCTTTGGCAGATTATCGACGGCTGATGCATAATAAATACTCTCCACCGAGGTCCATTATCGCCCAGTCGATAAGGGGGGGGCGAGGGGCGAGGGGGCTCCTGCACACTGCCCTGATCACGCTGCCACGTTCTACTACAGCTCCTGCATCACACACACACACACACACACACACACACACACCTGACAGCTCTAAAATATCTCCTAATGTTCTAATGTTCCTCCTCACAAACAGCTGCAGTCGTGTTTGTTTCATTTACAGGTTTGAGTGATTCTTTATTTTTAGTTCAGTTGATTCTAGTGAAGGTGTGTGGAGTTTAAAAACACAGTGGAGCACATCCTGTATCCTGTGAGTGTTTTCAGTTCATGTTAAATGTTTGAGTTTGTGTTAAACATGTGAATGAAACAAAACACAACTCCAGCTCTGTGTGTGATAAGAAAACATGAGTGTGATTTTGGCGCTTGAATCTGTCGCCGATGGACCAAAGTTTGAGTCCATTCTGAAGAGAAGAGCACTTCTGCTCCTGCTCCTGCCGCTCTTCTGTGAGGTCCCCTGTGGTCCCCTGCCCCTCAAACCTTTAGTGCTCCCCTGTGGCCCCCTATGGTCCTGGCGGCTCTCCCCTGTGCCGCTCCCATTTGACGGTCCCCAGTGTCGCACACTGAGGCTCTCCCTGTGCTCCCCTGGTGGTGCTCCTGTGCTCCTGTGCTCCCATGTGTCTCTCCTCTTTGTCTCTCCCCTGGTCCACATCCTCGTGAGTCTTGATGGATGGTTCCCTCTGGCTGAAGCGTCTGACACGAGTCGGGGGGCAGGGACAACAAACACTTGAACCTTTGGCCCTGGCACCGCGGGGCCGCTCGGGTTTCAGGAGCGAGCGCCCGCCCTGCCTCATGTGAGCGCCGCAGGAGGATCGAGTGACCGGCGGGGGCAGTGTCTCCGAAACGGCATCAACTGTCACCAAGTAGAACAGAGGAAGAGCTTTTAGCGCCCGACTCCAGAAGAACGAGATCAGACGAGATCAGACGAGATCAGACGAGATCAGACGAGATCAGACGAACGCGCTCTTCAAACCAACGTCTGATCTTCTAATGTTCTAATGTTCTAATGTTCCTCGTCACACACAGAGCTGTTTCATTCACATGTTTGAGTAAATCTTCATTATTCAAAGCTCCAAACGCTCTGTTCCACTGTGTGATGTCATGAAGTGTTTTCAAGTGAACAGCGCTTTTCCCCACAGTCTTTATAAAACAGTGGACTAAGTGGTTTTGACGTCACCCACAGTGTTCAGCTCCAGTCAAATGAAGCTCACTGAGGTCAGGGGGCAAATTTGGAGGCTCTGTATTAAAAACAGGACTTTTTTAACAAACAAAATGTCAAAAAAAAAACCTCTGCAGGATCAAGAAGAGCCGATTCATACGAACATTTAAGGGGTCGATTCTTGTGGAATGTTGTGCGTTAGCGACCATAAAATATTAAATAATATCTGAGGCGTTTATTTGTTTCAATCACTTCACAGACCAGGCACGTGTGAAATAAAACATAATTATATAAATGTAAATGTACAATTTAAAATAAATAAAATACCAAGTTCAACATTTGTGTATTTACCTTTTGGATATTTCATGGCAAAGTCTAGACCACAGGTGTCAAACATACGGCCCGGGGGCCAGATCCGGCCCTCCAACACCTTTAATCTTTAATATTGTAATTATATTTTCTATTAAAATCTTGTTAATTTTGTGTGGTGTTTATCACAGCAGCGTCTCCAGCGTCTCTGTACGTGGCCCCTCCCACCAGAGCAGCACAAATGAAGACTTGTCTCTTTCCAAACGTCTTAAAGGACGATCGTTTTGACTGTTGACCGTGACACCCTCATCAGAAAAATGTCCAACATGAGAAAAGTGGAGCCGAGTGCAGGATTTTACAACAAAAATGGACTTATTCCTGTTTACAGACAAGTTAATGTTCAAACTTTGTGTTGAAATTGAATTTTTCTTAAAGTTTCAGGTTGTTCATAATATTATAATATTTTGTAAAAGAAAGAGTTCATCAGTTAAAACAGATTTCTGTAATAGGTTTGTGTTTCTCTGCACAAATATTTGAACTTCTTGTTATTTTTGGGGTTTATATGACATGAGTTTTCTGATCCAGACACTTTGGATCAAAGTCGGTTGGACTCGACCCCGGAACAAAATGAGTTTGATTCTCCTGCACTAAAATCTGAAAAGTTGCAATTACCACATGATGACATCACAAGGTGGAACTAAATGTTTTCAGTTTGAGAGGAGAACTCGTGCTTAATGTGTAGATTTTTAAGCCGTTTTCATGTTCTGGTTGTGTGACACTTTCCTCTTTCGCTCTGGTTTTTATTTGTCAGAATTATATTTATAAAAGTGTTTCGTTCGTTCTTTTTCCCGTCTTGTCTGGAGTGATTCGCGTCACTTCGAGTCATCGTTAATCGCTTATTTTCAGTTCGTCATTTAGTCGCTCTCTGTCGTTTTGGTCTCGTCTTCGTGCTGTAAACTCGTGGTTTATTTGGCGCACGGAGCTGAACCGCTGCTTGGAAAATCCTGAGCCGAGCCTTGAGTGCATCATTAGGATCAGATTTCAGAAGAGTATTTATTTGTTTTTGCCGTTCCTGAAATCCAACACCGCGTCGTCTTCTTCTGAATCATTATTTTGTGTGTTTGTTTTGATAGAAACTTGGCCTCCAACCTCCTGGAGCACATCAGCTGGAAGGTGTTCCACTTCCTGCCCCTCATCAGTCTGTGAGTGTTCCTCTTTTCTAATGTTATCTTCATTTGTGGAAAATAGAAAATAGAAAACAGAATGAATGCTGCTGCTTCCTCCTCCCTGATTCTCCCTCTGTCCTCGTCCTCTTCCTCACTCTCCTCATTTTGTTCATAAAGTTTGTACAGAGGATTTTTTTAGATTCAAATTGTCAGTGAAAGTTCAAAATGTCCTTATAAAGATGCAGCAGCTTTGGAATTATAGTGACAAAAAAAAAGAAAAGAAAACCCATCGACTGGACGTGGTGCGTTCAGAGAAACGTCTGTAGAAACATTAGGAGAAAACCAGGCTTCGTCTTTTTCTATTGTCCGTCAGGTCGTCAATCAAAGTCTCAAAACATGTGACGGACTCACCGGAGCTCGGATTATGTGGTTTACATCAGTCCATGTGTCATTCCTTCATTTATTTTTCTAAATAAAACCAAAAATAAGAAAATGAAAAAACAACAATTTTCTTCATTATTTGTCTCCAAAACCAAAATGAAAAAACAGATAATGATTTGTTTTTTAAGTTTTTGATTTCAGGTTTAAATGAAAAATTGAAAAAACTCAAGACTCGAGCTCCTACATCAGAGTATCAGAGTTTTCAGGAGTCACACAGTCCCCATCACATCTGGACTAGTTCAGTCCTGGTTCAGTCCTGGTTCAGTCCTGGTTCAGTCCTGGTTCAGTCCTGGTTTAGTCCTGGTTCAGTCCTGGTTCAGTCCTGGTTTAGTCCTGGTTCAGTCCTGGTTCAGTCCTGGTTCAGTCCTGGTTCAGTCCTGGTTTAGTCCTGGTTCAGTCCTGGTTCAGTCCTGGTTCAGTCCTGGTTCAGTCCTGGTTTAGTCCTGGTTCAGTCCTGGTTTAGTCCTGGTTCAGTCCTGGTTCAGTCCGGCATCGCAGTTTAAGTCACGTAAATGGGAAATGACCTTTATCTTTTTCTTTTTTTTTTCATTTAAACTCAAAATCAAAAATTGAAAAAACAAATCTTTATCTGTTTTTTCATTTTGGTTTTGGAGACAAATAATGAAGAAAATAGTTGTTTTTTCATTTTCTTATTTTTGGTTTTATTTTGAAAAACAAATGAACGACTGATACATGGGTTACGACCGTTTCCCTTTTCCATGACTTAAACTGCAATTGCTAAACCAGGACTAAACCAGGACTAAAAAGACGTTTTCACTCTCGCCATTTTCCTCAGCGCAAAATTGGCTGCTGCAGTTTCAGACACGATGCTGCACTTTCTTGTCTTACTGCCCACATGACGAGACGAACAGACTCACCATCAGCAGAACACCCCTCTGTCACAGAGAGAACACCCCTCTGTCACAGAGAGAACACCCCTCTGACACAGAGAGAACACCCCTCTGTCACAGAGAGAACACCCCTCTGACACAGAGAGAACACCCCTCTGACACAGAGAGAACACCCCTCTGTCACACAGAGAGAACACCCCTCTGTCACAGAGAGAACACCCCTCTGACACAGAGAGAACACCCCTCTGACACAGAGAGAACACCCCTCTGACACAGAGAGAACACCCCTCTGACACACAGAGAGACACCCCTCTGTCACACAGAGAGAACTCTGTCACAGAGAGAACACCCCTCTGACACAGAGAGAACACCCCTCTGTCAAGAGAGAACACCCCTCTGTCACACAGAGAGAACACCCCTCTGTCACAGAGAGACCCCTCTGACACAGAGAGAGAACACCCCTCTGACACACAAGAACACCCCTCTGTCACAGAGAGAACACCCCTCTGAAAGAGAGAACACCCCTCTGACACACAGAGAGAACACCCCTCTGACACACAGAGAGAACACCCCTCTGACACAGAGAAACACCCCTGTCACACAGAGAGAACACCCCTCTGTCACAGAGAGAGTCATGTGATTTAACGTTTAGTTTGTGTCAAACTTAAACAAATGTGTGAAAGTCGTGTTACGGACACAGAAATGACGTGTGGAAACAGATCGTTTCCGATACTGTGATTCGTTTCAGTGTAAACATGATCTAAAACCTGCAGCTCTTGTGTGTTTTTGATTTGTAAAAGTTATTCTGATCGATGTTTAGAGAAGGAGGAGTTTGTACTGAGGGAGCTGTGGACGAACTGTGCACCCTGTAATGGTCTCTGTCTCCTCAGGGTGCTCTGTTATCCTCTTGTACTTCCTGTAACCTTCTCTCGTGTCTCCCCAGGGTGCTGCGGGACAACCCCCTGCGGTGTTCTTGTGGGGTGCACTGGCTGCAGCAGTGGCAGAGAGGTGCCCGGGCCGACCTGGACCCGGCGCTGTCCTGCCTCCACGGGCACCTGGAGGTCCCGCTCAGCTCCCTGCACATCGACAACTGCAGTGAGTCCTGGTCCGCCTGAAGAACACCTGCGCCGGAACACTCTGCATTTAACACCACACGATTTAGCACTCACTTTTTTACTCTGAAAATATATTAATCTGAACTTTAGTGGCTGACATTTTAAGTGCTTTAAATTTTAATTTTGAAATATTCAGTAGAAATATTTTCAAGCTCTTAAATTTCACAATCACAATTCAGAGAGTAAAATTCACAGTGTTAAATTCCCAGTGTAAAATGCAGAGTGTAAAATTTCAGAGATCCCAGACATAAGTAATCGGTCGATTTCACTCAGTGACAAACAGGAAGTGCTGCAGAGGAGCCATCTGATTGGTCAGACTCATGTCTTTGATTTAACTATAAGCTCCGCCCCCAGAAGAGAACAGCCAATAGGAAACAGCCTCTGTCCTCGGTCACATGATCAATTGTTTACGTGTCGGCGTCTTGGATCTTTACAGTTTTACTCTCTGTGTGTTTCACTGAACAACACAGAAGAGTTTTACACTCAGGTCCGACTGTACAGACTCTTTATCAAGACATCTGACACCTGTCAGACGCCTGTCAGACTCCTGTCAGACACCTGTCAGACACCTGTCAGACTCCTGTCAGACACCTGTCAGACACCTGTCAGACACCTGTCAGACACCTGTCAGACACCTGTCAGACACCTGTCAGACACCTGTCAGACTCCTGTCAGACTCCTGTCAGACACCTGTCAGACACCTGTCAGACACCTGTCAGACTCCTGTCAGACACCTGTCAGACACCTGTCAGACACCTGTCAGACACCTGTCAGACTCCTGTCAGACTCCTGTCAGACACCTGTCAGACACCTGTCAGACACCTCCTGTCAGACACCTGTCAGACTCCTGTCAGACACCTGTCAGACTCCTGTCAGACACCTGTCAGACACCTGTCAGACTCCTGTCAGACACCTGTCAGACACCTGTCAGACTCCTGTCAGACACCTGTCAGACACCTGTCAGACTCCTGTCAGACACCTGTCAGACTCCTGTCAGACTCCTGTCAGACACCTGTCAGACACCTGTCAGACTCCTGTCAGACACCTGTCAGACACCTGTCAGACTCCTGTCAGACACCTGTCAGACACCTGTCAGACTCCTGTCAGACACCTGTCATACACCTGTCAGACTCCTGTCAGACACCTGTCAGACACCTGTCAGACACCTGTCATACACCTGTCAGACTCCTGTCAGACACCTGTCAGACACCTGTCAGACACCTGTCAGACGCCTGTCAGACACCTGTCAGACACCTGTCAGACTCCTGTCAGACTCCTGCCAGACGCCTGTCAGACACCTGTCAGACGCCTGTCAGACTCTTGTCCAAATACACATACTGATAAAAAAAAAAAAAAGTATATTTCATTTGTGACATTCAGTTGTTATCGACACAGAGACTCTAAAGTGACACACGACACCAGAACAAAACCAATAACTGTTAGTATTGTGTTATTATCGTGTTATTATCGTGTTATTATCTCTGCTTCCTCGCCGCAGGTCTTCCTGTCGTCACTATTCTTCCGGCCAATAATCGGGTCCAGGAGGGCGGGAACCTCACCTTCGAGTGTCATGTGACCGGGAGCCCCACCCCCCGAGCAAGATGGAGGACAGAGCACCTGCGCTCGCCCTTCACCACACAGGTGAGCGCCCGAAACACCTCCACCACCTGAAACACCTCCACCACCTGAAACACCTCCACCTGAAACACCTCCACCACCTGAAACACCTCCACCACCTGAAACACCTCCACCTGAAACACCACTAACACCTGAAACACCTCCAACACCTGAAACACCTCCACCACCTGAAACACCTCCACCACCTGAAACACCTCCACCTGAAACACCTCCACCACCTGAAACACCTCCACCTGAAACACCACTAACACCTGAAACACCTCCAACACCTGAAACACCTCCACCACCTGAAACACCTCCACCTGAAACACCACTAACACCTGAAACACCTCCAACACCTGAAACACCTCCACCACCTGAAACACCACCAACACCTGAAACACCTCCAACACCTGAAACACCTCCACCACCTGAAACACCTCCACCTGAAACACCTCCACCACCTGAAACACCTCCACCTGAAACACCACTAACACCTGAAACACCTCCAACACCTGAAACACCTCCACCACCTGAAACACCACCAACACCTGAAACACCTCCAACACCTGAAACACCTCCACCACCTGAAACACCACCAACACCTGAAACACCTCCAACACCTGAAACACCTCCACCACCTGAAACACCACTAACACCTGAAACACCTCCAACACCTGAAACACCTCCAACACCTGAAACACCTCCACCACCTGAAACACCACCGCCTGAAGCACCTCCAACACCTGAAACACCTCCACCTGAAACACCACCACCTGAAACACCTCCACCTGAAACACCTCCACCTGAAACACCTCCAACACCTGAAACACCTCCACCTGAAACACCTCCACCACCTGAAACACCTCCAGCACCTGAAACACCTCCAACACCTGAAACACCTCCAACACCTGAAGCACCTCCAACACCTGAAGCACCTCCAACACCTGAAGCACCTCCAGCACCTGAAGCACCTCCAACACCTGAAGCACCTCCAGCACCTGAAGCACCTCCAACACCTGAAGCACCTCCAGCACCTGAAACACCTCCAACACCTGAAGCACCTCCAGCACCTGAAACACCTCCACCACCTGAAACACCTCCACCACCTGAAACACCTCCACCTGCACCTCCAACACCTGAAACACCTCCAGAAACACCTGAAACACCTCCACCACCTGAAACACCTCCACCTGAAACACCACCACCTGAAGCACCTCCAGAAACACCTGAAACACCTCCAACACCTGAAACACCTGAACACCTCCAACACCTGAAACACACCTCCAGCACCTGAAACACCTCCACCTGAAACACCTCCAACACCTGAAACACCTCCACCTGAAACACCTCCAACACCTGAAACACCTCCAACCTGAAACACCTCCACACCTGACACCTGAAACACCTCCACACTGAAACCTCCAACACCTCCACCTGAAACACCTCCAACACCTGAAACACCTCCACCCTGAAACACCTCCAACACCTGAAACACCTGAAACACCTCCAACACCTGAAACACCTCCAACACCTGAAACACCTCCAACACCTGAAACACCTCCACCTGAAACACCTCCAGCACTTCCCCCTCACACAGCCCCGCCCCCTCACTGTCAATCAAACCTGTTGCTAACACTGGTGGGAGGGGCCTCAGAATGAAGGCGTCTGATTGGTTCATTATTAATGTTTAGATCTGAATTTGGGACAAAATGTTGAAATAAAAACATTTTTATAAGAACATTTTTTGTTTTTCCCTGTCGCCCCTGTCGCCCCTTTCGCTCCTGTCACCCCTGTCGCCCCTGTCACCCCTGTCACCCCTGTCGCCCCTGTCGCCCCTGTCGCCCCTGTCGCCCCTGTCACCCCTGTCACCCCTGTCGCCCCTGTCGCCCCTGTCGCTCCTGTCGCCCCTGTCTGTCGCCCCTGTCGCCCCTGTCGCCCCTGTCACCCCTGTCGCCCCTGTCGCCCCTGTCACCCCTGTCGCCCCTGTCGCCCCTGTCGCCCCTGTCGCCCCTGTCGCCCCTGTCGCCCCTGTCGCCCCTGTCGCCCCTGTCGCCCCTGTCGCCCCTGTCGCCCCTGCAGGAGAGGATCTGGGGCTCGACTCTGGAACACGTTCTGTTTCTGACCAACGTCTCGTCCGGTGATAATCTCCACAACCTGACGTGTGACGCCGAGAACCAGGCCGGACCCGACAGCGACACCGTCCCCCTCGACATCCAGTGTAAGACCAGGACCAGGACCAGACCAGACCAGACCAGACCAGACCAGGACCAGACCAGGACCAGACCAGGACCAGACCAGGACCAGACCAGGACCAGACCAGGACCAGACCAGGACCAGACCAGGACCAGACCAGGACCAGACCAGACCAGACCAGGACCAGACCAGACCAGACCAGACCAGACCAGACCAGGACCAGACCAGGACCAGACCAGGACCAGGACCAGACCAGAGACCAGACCAGGACCAGGACCAGGACCAGGACCAGGACCAGGACCAGGACCAGGACCAGGACCCAGACCAGGACCAGACCAGACCAGAGACCAGACCAGACCAGACCAGACCAGACCAGGACCAGACCAGGACCAGACCAGACCAGACCAGACCAGGACCAGGACCAGGACCAGACCAGACCAGACCAGGACCAGGACCAGACCAGACCAGGACCAGGACCAGGACTAGACCAGGACCAGACCAGTAGACCAGGACCAGGACCAGACCAGACTAGACCAGACCAGGACCAGGAGACCAGTAGACCATAGACCAGGACTGACCAGACCATGTGACCAGAGACCAGTAGAACTGGTTTTGTACTTTTTTGTGTATTTAGTTTCTTATTTCAGTGTTTAGTTGATGTTAAATCGTCGGGTTCAGTTCTTTTTTTGTCTGGAGAAACAGAAAATATTGTGGAGCAAAAAAGCTGAACTCAGATCTGAGTTGATGAAGTTCTTTTCTTTAAATATCAGTAAATGTCGTTGTTGTGACGCTGCCAGACTGAAGAGTTTCTGTTCGGACTAAACAATGAAAAAGTGAAAAATGTCATTTAAAAAAACACAAAAATAAAGTGAGTTCAGCTTCAGTCCAAACACGAGGTCAACGATCAACTGTTTATTTTAGGAGCTGCACAAAGACCAGATCTGATTTAAACACTGATGGAAACAAAAAGACTTAAATTTCTTAGGGTTCTTTTTAAAGACAATGCAGTAAAGTGTGTTTACCTTGTTGACATGTTTCGGCTGCTGCTGCTGCATCTTCAGATCTGTCCTGGTGTTGGTGGTGACGTGTCGTATATCAGCTGTTGTTACTTCCTGTAGGCGTGGTCAGACCTGATGGACCTGCAGGTCGCTCAGACTGACCACGCCTCCCGTCGCCCGGTGTCTCTGGAGGAGGGTGTCCCAGGTGTGTGAAACCAACAAACACCGGAAAAAAAACACTACAATCCAACACAGGGCAGCAGGACAAAAACATAGTCACACTACCGAACATCAGAGGAACAACCGAACCATCCAGAGCCATGAAAAAACACAACATTAGCACTGTAGTAAAACCAAACACAAAACTCCGTCAACAGCTCGTACATCCCAAGGACAAAATCCCACAAGAACAAAAATGCAACACCATCTACGAAATTCAATGCAAATCATGTAATAAATCACACACAGGGGAAACAGGCCGAGCATTTCACATCCGAAAAAAGGAACAGCAAAAGGAATGTGAGAAGGAAACGTCAGGGAGACTCACCAGAACAAAAAAGACAAAGCAGAACAGGAAAACCTAAAATCCTCCACATCAGACACTGTAAAAGGAACAACCACATTATGGATCAGGACGAGACTCGGGTCATTGGATCAGAAAACAACAAGTTCAAACGCTGGATCAAGGAGGACGGTGAAATCAGGAAACGAGGCTCGGAGCATTAACCGTGATGACGGAGCCTTCCTCCTTTCACACACCTGGGACACCCTCCTCCAGAGACACCGGGCGACGGGAGGCGTGGTCAGTCTGAGCGACCTGCAGGTCCATCAGGTCTGACCACGCCCACAGGAAGTAACAACAGCTGATATACGACACGTCAACACCAACACCAGGACAGATCTGAAGATGCAGCAGCCGAAACATGTCAACAAGGTAAATACACTTTACTGCATCGTCTTTAAAAAGAACCCAAGAAGTTAAAGTATATAAGAAGACAAAATGAACATCTTTTGCTTAAAAAGACTTTAACTTCAGTTTTGAAAGTGACATTTATGAGATAGTGTTTGTGTGTGTGTGTGTGTGTGTTTGTGCTGTTGTTTTGTTGTTTTGTTTAATTTAACTTATTTTCTGTTTATTTGAACATTTTTATTTTAACTCCAGAAGGTTTATTTTAAATACATTTTCTCTGGTCAAAGACACTTTTTTGTTTTTAGTCTCACTCCAACTTCAACCACAACAGACCAGGACTAAACCAGGACTAAACCAGGTAAACCAGGACAAAACCAGGACTAAACCAGGACTAAACCAGGACTGAACCAGGACTAAACCACCAGGACTAAACCAGGACCCAGGACTAAACCAGGAAACCAGGACTAAACCAGGACTAAACCAGGACTAAACCAGGACTAAACCAGGACTAAACCAGGACTAAACCAGGACTAAACCAGGACTAAACCAGGATTAAACCAGGATTAAACCAGGTCTGAACCAGGACTAAACCAGGACTAAACCAGGACTAAACCAGGATTAAACCAGGATTAAACCAGGATTAAACCAGGTCTGAACCAGGACTAAACCAGGACTAAAACAGGACTAGACCAGGACTAGACCAGGTCTAGACCAGGTCTAGACCAGGACTAAAACAGGTCTAGACCAGGACTAGACCAGGACTAGACCAGGTCTAGACCAGGACTAGACCAGGTCTAGTCCTGGTCTAGACCTGGTCTTGCCTTCAGGACCCTCGTTGTTCTCTCCGTGACTTCGGGCCCCTGAGTCTGTGTCTCTAAACACTCGGGGGCCTCTCTTTACGGGCCCCGGCTTCAGGACCCGCGCCGTCTGCTGTCAGGAGTAAATAAGTGGGGAGGAGGCGGGCGCCGCTCCGCTGTTCCGCTGTTCCGCGCGGGGCCCCTGGGAGCGCTAAGAGCCGATGTGCTGATGTGATTTGGGGCCGCGCTAATGGAGCCTCTCCCGGATCCGCCTGAGTGACTCTGTAACTACGTTAGTGCGGCTAATCTCCGAGCGCTCGTAACTGCCGCCCCTTTAATTACTCCTAACGAGCTCCCAAAGAGCCACTGCACCCGCCCTGCTGCTCCTGCCTGCTCCTGTCTGCTCCTGCTCCTGTCTGCTGCTGCCTGCCTCTGCTGCTCTGTCTGCTCCTGCCTGCTCCTGCTCCTGCTGCTCTGTCTGCTCCTGTCTGCTGCCTGTCTGCCTGCTGCTCCTGCCTGCTCCTGTCTGCTCCTGCCTGCTCTGCCTGCTCTGCCTGCTGCCTGCTGCTCCTGTCTGCTGCCTGCTCTGCTCTCCTGCCTGCTCCTGTCTGCTCCTGTCTGCTGCTGCTGCTGCTCCTGCCTGCTGCTCTGCTGCTCCTGCTCTCCTGCTCCTGCTCCTGCTGCTGCTCTCTGTCTGCTCCTGCCTGCTCCTGCTGCTCCTGCCTGCTCTGCCTGCTCCTGCTGCTCCTGCTGCTCTGCTGCTGCCTGCTGCTGCCTGCTGCCTGCTGCTCCTGCCTGCTCCTGCCTGCTCCTGTCTGCTCCTGCTGCTGCTGCCTGTCTGCTCCTGCCTGCTCCTGCCTGCTCCTGTCTGCCTGCCTCTCCTGCTGCTCCTGCCTGCTCTGCTGCTCCTGCCTGCTCCTGTCTGCTCCTGTCTGCTCCTGTCCTCTCGCTCACTGCAGAAAACCCCAGGACAAAACGTAAGATGGAACCACTTAAAGTTTGTATAGAGGATTTTTTTAAGGGAAGAGAAATACAGCGACAGTCCTTCTGCGCGTTCAGAATCACTGTTGAAGTTTCCTGTCTAGAAGTAATTCAGCGACCGACGCGTCAGTTTTTAGACCCTTCGTCTGCTTCGGTCGCGCCATCGCTGGACGAGATCTCCAAGAATCACCTCAGTTTGTCTTCGCTCCTTTTCCTCTTCTCTTCTTCTTTCAGCGACCTCAAAAACGGACTTTCTTTTGCGGTGAACCGGTCGTAGATTCTCGTCCGCCGTCGCGACAAACTTTGTGCGAAATGCGAGGAAGCGACAGTTTGAAAAAGCCTCTGAGAACCGCTGCATAAACCACATAATCCCCGCGCTCCGACGAGTCAGTTACACTAGGGAGTTTGATTGACAACCTAACAGCCAATAGAAAATGAGGGAGCCTCGTTTTCTATTGGCTGATGTTTATCTGGCCTCAACACGTTCACAGTTGATAGATTTTTTGGTCATCATAATTACAAAGCTGCTGCGTCTCTGTAATGGTTTTTTAATCTTTCACTGACAGTTTGAAACAAAAAAAAATCCTCCATTCAACCTTTAAATCGATCAGAGAAGGATTTAAACGCAGAGAAACGACGTGTCCAGGCAGCCAGATCATTTTACTGAACAAATGATCCAAAATAAACGAGAATGAAGCAGCTCAGAAATGATTTTACCCAAACTATTTCCCCTGTGGATCAATAAAGTTTGTCTAAATCTAAGTCTCTGTTCAGTCTGCAGCCTGAAGTTTCCCAAATCTGATTTTTCGTCCCTCTGCTCCTGTTTCTGATCTTTTAACGACGACGTCTGAGCCGCACAGATCTGATTTTTATCATCGATTTATTTTTCATCAAGACCAAATCGAGATCATCTTTGTCATTTTTGATCTTTGTTTGTATTTTACAGTTATTTTGGCACAAATATATTAATGTTTTTATAAATCTATTTCCATTTTATCACTCGACAATCCACACCTCGAGACCGGAGACAAGACCGAGTCTGAACACCTTTAAGACCGAGACCGAGAGCAAGCAAGACAAGACCAAGACGAGAGTGAGACAAGACCGAGTCCAAACACCGTCGAGTCCAAGACGAGACCAAGACCAAAAAAAAAAATCCAGTCTGAAGTTCTACGACACTGAACGTCCAGGTCACGTTCCTCCACCTCCACAACATCAACAAACAACAAACGTCACAGTTCTGAGCTGAAGTCGACGGAAACTCAAAGAAAAACAAAACCACGAGACAAACGGAGACAAATGTTCACAAACATTTTTCTCGTCAGATGAAAACTGTGTG